CCTCCTACACACACTAAGGAAGCAACCACAGCAAATACACCTAACCCTGAAAATGACCTGAAGACTGCAGAACAGACCACCTACACCTGGTGAAGAAGAGAAGACCACACAGATCAGGGCAAAGTGGCAGAGCCATGATCCATCAGGACTCCAGCCCTTCTACCATCCCAGCCAACAGGCAGGAGGAAGAGGAACAGCGTGGTGAGGGGACAGGCACTCAGGAACTCGTCCTGGAGATCTGCTCTGCGAACACAGTCCACATTGCATTGGGTTTTGGCAGTTAGAGGGGCTGGTCACCATGAAAAGTTGGAGCGCTCTGGGGGACTGAGACTCCTGCTACTTATGGAGGACAGGCATGCCCTGGCAGTCCCACTGGGACACAAAACAGAGGTGGCAGTTTGAAAGATTTAGCAGCAGTGTTATGGGTGCCAGAGGGGCCAGGGTTGGACGGAGCTCTCTCCACAAGAGAAAGGGCACATGGACAACACCTCCCCAGCCCTCCCTTAATCCAGCAGTTTGGCACACTTGGGAGCCCCAAATGTTCCATCCCCCTTGCTAGTGGCTCAGCCCTGAGGTGCTTCTTCCCTGTGCACCTGCCCACCCTAGCAGCATCAGACTTTGCTACTTGGCAGGCATTGGGAGGCACCTGCCCCAGAGCTGCCATCATTGCAGGGCAGAGGGCAGACCCAGTCACAACAAGCCCAGAAGAAGCACCTCTACATGGCTCAGAAAGGCAGCCTTGCCCATAGCCCACCAATAGCAACTGGGGCTCCACTGCAAAGAAAAACCAGGCATTGGAGAATAAATAGTCTTGAGCTTCTGGGTACCACAGGATGCCTTCTTCATAAAGCCATTACTCTCTAGGCCAGGAAACATATCAGATCTGTCTAATACAAAGGGAGAAACACAGAAATCCTGACAAAAGGAGGAGGCAGAGGAATATGTTCCAAACAAAACTACAGCATAAGACACCTGAAAGAGCGGCAAATGAAATGGAGATCACCCATCTTCTTGATAAATATTTCAAAGTAAAAGTCACAAATATGTTCACTAATCTACAGAAAAGTATTGAAGATCTCAGAGAGCTGAAAAAGAATCACTCAGCTGAAGAATATAGTAACTGAAATGAAATATACAATGGAGGGAAATAATAACAGATATTTGCATAACAGGGTGCCAAAAGGAGAGGTGAGACACAAAGGGATAGAAAGTCTTTTTGAGAAATAATTTGTGAAAACTTCATCAATCTGGGGAAGGAAATAGACACCCAAGTCCTGGAAGCTCAGAGAGACCCTAACAAAAGGAACCTCAGGAAGATAACACCAAGACATGTAATAATTAAAATGACAAAGATGAAGGATAAAGAGAGGGCACTGAAAGCAGCTAGAGGTAAATTACTTACAATGGCAATCCCATAGGCCATCATCAGATTTCTCAGCAGGAACTTTACAGGCCAGAAGGGAGTGCCATGAAATATGTAATGTATCGAAACAGAAGGGCATTCCTCTATCCAGCAAGACCGTTGTTCAAATCTGAAGGAGAGATTTAAAATTTCTCAGATAAACAAAGGCTGAAGGAATTTACTACCACTAAACTAGCTATACAGGATATGTTAAAGGACTTCTGTAGAAGGAAATGTTCTTAAGCCTACATTATTTTCACAGGTGAAAACCCACAGTGAAGGTAGTAGACCAATTACTTATCAAGCATGTAGAAAGTTAAAACAAAAGTGGTAAAACCAACAATACACAAAATCAGTCAATGGATGCCAAGAAATGCAGATTATGACATTTACTACATAAAGTGTGGAGGAGAGAGAAAAAAAAGTACTTTGGATTGTATTTGAAATACAGCAATCATCAACTTAATATAAGCTGTTACATAGTCAGGAAGTGATCTTAAGTAACCACAAACCTAAAGCCTGTAATAGATTCACAAAAAATTTAACAAGCGGAATCTAATTACAACACTAAAGAAAACTATCAAACAAGAGAAGCATATCAAAGAGGAAGAAAGGAGCAGAGAGGAACTACAAATCAACCAGAAAACAATAAAATGGCAATAAGTACCTTAAATGTAAACGGACTGAATGCAACAGGCAAAAGACAGAGTATCAAAATGGATAAACAATACTCATCTATATGCTGCCTGTAAGAGACTCATTTCAGACCCAGAGACATACACAGACTGAAAGTGAAGGGATGGAAAGAGATATTTCATGCAAATAAGAGGGAGAAAAAAGCAGCAGTAGCAGTACAAAATAGACTTAAAAACAAAGTAAGAAGAGACAAAGGACACTACATAATGATAAATGGATCAGTCCAACCAGAGTATATACCCATTATAAATATCTATGCACCCAACATAGGAGCACCTAAATATGTAAAACAAACACTAACAGAATTAAAGAGGGAAATAAAGTCTCCTAATATGAATGAGTTGCAGTCTAACACACCACTTATATCAATAGATCAACCAGACAAAATAAATAAGGAAACAGAGGCACTGAACAACACATTAGATCAGGTGGTCTTAACAATATCTACAGAACATTCCACCCAAAAGCAGCAGGATACACATTTTTCTCAAGTGCACATGGAACATTCTCCAGAACAGATCACATACTATGCCACAAGAAGAGCCTTAATAAATTCAAAAACACTGAAATTATCAAGGAAC